TTGCCTCTAGATTGTGTTGTTTTGACGTCAACGGAATATTTCAAGCTGAAAGCTACTATTGAGCTGTTTTTCAACTTGAAAATTTATGTCAAGTTTCTGCGAAGAAAATTGCCAACCTTGAAAAGCACTGTTTTGCAACTTTGAGTAGTCTTTAATTCTTTATTGGGGCTTTCATTTCCTATGCAGCGTTTTTAAGACCTTGTTTACCGTGGAGATAGTAACAACAATTAAATTTGTAAATGGAATTCTAAAAATATGTTATTTATTCTCGAGCTAGTTGTTAGAGCAGTTGATGCTAATAATATGGAGTTTGAAAATTAAATGCAAGCTAAAACAAGATAATAATCGAACTGAAGGGCCTGCTGCACGGATACAAGTGCGATGGATGAAGGACCTCGGGATCAATGTCAGGATCGAGCTCGAGCTATCGGGGATAGTCGGGGATGGGATAACAGTTGAAGATACGATCAAACAAGGCTCTTTATGGCCACTATTAAGGCATATGTTGAAGAACAAGTAAGAAAGTGATGGATATTAAGGTAACTTCGAGTCAGTATTAAGTGGTAAACAAAGAACATGCAAGAAGACAGCAAAGCTAAATGACTTCGAGCCAATGAGGGCAAGCGAGATAGAGAGGAGAAAGAGAGAGAAGATATTATTGCACTTTTAGTAGAATGGTTGGCGCTCTGCCCTTACAAGGTGTTAGCGACTCCCCTTTTATAGAAAGGGGGAAGTCCAATCTTCGTACAAAATATGTTGCGTGATACAAGAAATAGGATGGGACAACCTGCTAGCTTCGTGATTCGTGCATGGGCTGATGTCGAACCGCTTAAATAGTCCCGATCGACCCTGAGTGCATTCCTCGAGAGATCCCTGCATTTGCTGAGGCTTTGACCGGCATTATCCTTGGCGGGGTACCGCCTGATCTCGAGGGAAGTGACTGGCTCGAGATCCCAGGCTTCCGGGGTCACCCTTCGAGGTATTCAATCGAGGAGAAATCGATCTCTCAGATTTCACCGTATACAGACCTATTAATGGTCACGAGCAAATAATTACTAGCCTAATCTTAGTATAGTGGAATTTGCTCAAGCAGGCTTCTTGAAAATTTCCCAAGTTAACCAACCGAATAGAAAGTCCCCCGACGTGACTATTTCTTGTTGGAAAAAATTTACTCACATATATGATGCGTGCACCAAATAATAAATATAAGGCAGGTGTCTCGCACATAAATCTTTATATATCACGTATAAATTATGATTAAATAATGTATATTTTCATTCAATAATTTTAACTTCTAAGATTAAATTGTTAGATTTAGCGTAAATATTAGGTATGGACACATATTTTTCCTTCTCGAACCATTTCCGTCACGCCTTGATAACGTTATTGTAGCCTGGGCCAGCTCCGCCATTTGTTGTCTTTGTATGGTCCTTTTATTCACCAATATACGTGGACCATTATATTGATGACGTTTAGAGTTTTTTCATCAATCAAGCAATCTATAAGAAATTGCACGAAACTGAAAAATGATAGCTTTTTGTCTTAACAGTTATTGAATACATTTCCTTTTTCCTAATATTCATTTTCGTTATAAATTGGTGTCATCAGATAGCTCTTAAAACTAGAATGTTTATTGTGGATTTTATTATGTTTTGTTGTGGTCTATAAGGATGACTCATACCGTATGACCACGAGTACACTTAATCAGCTAACAAGTCTGTTAGGATCAAGTGTTTACCATCATGCAAAAACCTATAGCTGATAGTTAAGCGCACAACTTTATTTCTGAACCAAGACCATCAAGCAAGTACCATGTTCGACCATGACTCCGACTCGGACCACCCCAAGCAGAGGCGGACCCAGAATTTGAGTACAACAGGAACACCATAGTATATTAGTCACTAGTAATAAAATTCGGCGCGCAACTCTTTAAGAACTTAATGAATATGATGACTTATCATCCAAGCATAAACAAAAAAAAGTTCTAAAGAAAAAAAAAATACCAAACATAGAGAGATTTCTTCGTAAAATGGGTTCTATGGGAGCGGAAGGTATTTGACTAAGCATGTTTCACACTATAAAATTTCTATGGGAGCGGAGGAAAATGAGTTGATAAAGAAAATATTTTTCAAAACATATAAGCCAACAAAACATGGGAAAATTGGAAAATATTTTCCGGAAAATGTTTTCCTTCATACCAGAAAATGTTTTCCTTCATACCAAACACACCCTAAGGGTATGTTAATAGTCAAAGAACCAAAGAAGAGTCTCAAACTCTTAGTTGCCATTATCGAGTCGGGGTCAAAGTGATTGTTGAAGAAGATTGTGACAGAAGGATTTATATTTATCTATCTCTGGAGAGATAAGTTGCAATTTGAGGCTTTTAATTTTAAGGGAGGAATTCGAAAAAAATAATAATTTAAGTTGATCATTATGTGTTAATGCTAAACCGTAATTAAATTCAATAAAAGAAGAAGATAAAAGTAAAGATAAAGCAATTTGCTAAGTATAAATTATGTTGTGCTAAGTATAAATTATGTTGTATTCAAGGAGGAGAAAAAGCAAGAACTAAAATGGGAAGGAGGAGAAGCAAAGCACAGAACTTAGGCGCGCAACACCCACTTCTCTCGTCTGCTTTTTATGTTAAGGGGCACAAGCAAAATATTTAAGGGGTCTCATATATATGTATAGATAGATATATAGAAAAAAAAAAAAATATATATATATATATATATATATATATATATATAGGATTTTTGCCGAGGTTAACGGTCCCGTGACCCCTCAACCTACAACGTAAGTCCGCCTCTGAACCCAGGCCCCTTGTCGACCTTTGCCACAGGCAGGACGTTGGCATTACCCAATAATACTCCTCCCAACACCTGCCTCATGCAACATGTTGCTCTATCGAACCCATGATCTTGGCTCTGATACCACTTGGTCGGATCAAACACTTATCATCATGCCAAAAGTTATAACTTATAGCAAGGGCACAACTTTATTTTTTAACCAAGCTCACCAAGCAAGCGCCATGTTCGACCATGACTCCGATCTGGGCCACCCCAGGCCCCCCATGAGCCTTGCCACAGGCAGAATGTTGGCGTTACCCAGCAAAGTCTATGTACTCTGAAGCACCATGTTCGGATTAGTGAGGTTAGTAGGTTTCGGACATCGAATGGTTAAACAAAAAAAGTAGAACCGTATATCCATAATTGAGTTGTTCAAGAACTTGCTTCTCCATTTCAGCTTTTAGGCAAATTCGCCTAATAGAACCAACAAGTTGTCCAAACTTTATGCACTATTGATACTATACGCCAAGGCCTTGCATCATCACTGCACAATGGATATAAAGAATTCAGGTTTACGAAAACTTTCATGACTGAGAGACAAAATGGACAAGGCATAGACAAAATTTTTAATCACAGTGGTAGTCTCGGAATAGGGTTAGAGTTGAAATAAGCCAAAAACATTGTCTCTGACTTAGTTGAGGACAATTGTTATTGATTCTGTTTGTGCATGAATTTGGCACTAAAATCCACAAGCAAAGCAAGTGAAACTTTCAGTCTTTGGCATGTGTATGGCTTGCCCTTCTCTAACTAGAAAAGGCCAGCCTAAGAAATTTTTCCTTTAATATTAATATGGTGTGAAATTGTTTTGTTAGATCAATTTATTAAGAGTAATTTTAATGCTTTATATGCAACATTTTTTTTTCTTATTACTAACTCTTAGTGTGAAACTTTGTTGCGCACTCAACAATTTTCTCGAGTACCACATGACTCATCACAAAAATAAATGGACTTATTTGAAGATTCATCATGTGTTTTATACATCATCCGAGTAATTATGGTCATTAAAGCTTCATTAAATTAAACTAGTTATTAGTAGAAGCATGAGATTTAATGAATGTCTAAGAGGGTGTTTGGATTGACTTATTTTAAGTGCTTATTGACTTTTAAGCACTTTTTTAGTTTGTGTGGTGTTTGACAATGATAAAAAGTGCTTAAAAGCACTTACTTTTAGGCATAAAAAGTACAAAAATAAGCCAAAAGTCAAAAGTTGGGTATTACCAACTTATGACTTTTAGCTTTTAGTTTAAAAACTACTTTTTATAAGCCAATCCAAACACCCTCTAAATCTCATGTAAAAAGGAAGTTTTTTTCTTTTTGTATTTACCTTAAATAAAATATTTATTACTAGAATAAATTTTTTCGAGTCATAAAAACAATAATTAATGCTTGCATTAGGGTAGGTTGGAGTTTTGGCCTTTTTCCGAACCATGCGTGAATACGAAATGATCTGTGAATCGGAATATCCTTTTAAAATATTTAGTAGAATACATTCACCTCTTAATAACAAAACAAAAATTAGATTTGTCAATTCCAATGTTAACTAAAGATATGCACACTCCTCATTTTATCTGACTTTTCGTGCTTTATGGTAACAAAGCACGAAAACATGAAAGACCAATATTCACTTTCAGTAATTTTATTTTATGTCACAGGATAAGGTAGGGAGATTAATAGGATCTATTGGGTGACAAAAGTGACAGAAGGCTAAACTCAGTTTCCTCGGTAGTTATTACAATAAATATAATTAAAGCCAATGATAAGTTGAGACGGAGCTTGAATTTGAAGTTTATAGGCACAAACTTATAGTTTATTCTAATTCTTATATTTATAATTGAATATTTATACATATATTTGATAAATTTATTAATTTAAATATGAGGTCTAAGTAAAAGTTATTGGGTTTGTCCAAACCCGTACCTAGTATTAAAGTTCCGCCCTGGGTGACAAGTGTAGGAACAACAACAATAGCAACATACCCAGCGTAATTCCACAAGTGGAGTCTTGGAGTCTGGAAAAGATAGTGTGTACACAGTCATACCCTTACCTTGTACCAGTAAAGAGGTTGTTTCTTATATAAGAATGGAGGAAAACAATAAGAGATTTCTCAACAGGTGGGACCAAAAGAACATCAAAATCACATGATAATTTGGAAGTGATTATGTGATTAATCATCTTCAACTATTTCACAAGTATTATATGACTTCATTTGCCAATATATGCCCCAAAAGAACTCCTAACAGTCACTCTTGCCAAGTGCCACATATTAGGCTACCCTCCATACTTATAGTTGATTCTTAATTTCACTACATTATCATGTTTTTCTCTTCTTTATTGTCAACTTCTCCCCTTACTTTCTTACAAATCTTGATTCTATGTATAGCTGGTGTTCATTTTGTCAACACAACTCCAGCCAAGATTGGTCAAGGTTACAAGTTGATCTCCATAGAAAAGACACCTGATGGAGGCCTTATAGGACACCTCCAAGTTAAAGAGGAGAACAATATTTATGGGCCAGACATTCCTCATTTGCAGCTCTATGTTAAGTAAGTCTTTAGCCTTTCGCTCAAAAAAGAAAAAAAAAGATCATGTCTTGGACTTGCATGAACATCATACTTGAAAACAAAGACAGAATTAGGATTTAAACTTTATGCGTTCAAATTTTAAGGTTCTTACAACTCAACACATTATCTTAAAATTATAGATTCGAAATTTAATATTTATTGAAACTTTAGTAGTTTTTTACATATATATTTCGATGTATCCGCCTCTACTTGAAAATAATTATGATCTTTAGGTTAATGTTGTGATTATTATGCAGGCATGAGACAGATGAACGTTTGAGAATTCATATAACTGATGCAGAAGAACAAAGATGGGAAGTTCCTTACAACTTATTACCAAGAGAAACACCCCCATCATTGAAACAAACTATTGGTAGGTCAAGAAAGAACCTTTTGCCACTAGCAACATCAGATTATTCAGGAAATGAGTTAATATTCAGCTATACAAATGACCCTTTTAGTTTTTCTGTTAAAAGAAAATCAAATGGACAGAACCTTTTCAATTCCAGCTCTGATGATTCAGACCCATATAGCAATTTGGTATTTAAAGACCAATATCTTGAAGTATCCACAAAATTGCCTAAAAATGCTTCTTTATATGGCCTAGGAGAAAGCACACAGCCCCATGGGATAAGACTATACCCTAATGATCCTTACACTTTGTACACAACTGATGTATCAGCTCTTAATCTGAATATTGATTTGTATGGGTCTCATCCTATGTATATGGATTTGAGGAATGTGAATGGAAAGGCAAGTGCTCATGCAGTTTTGTTGCTAAATAGCAATGGAATGGATGTGTTTTACAGAGGAGATTCTTTAACATACAAAGTGATTGGGGGCGTTTTTGACTTTTACTTCTTTGCTGGTCCTACACCTCTTGCTGTTGTTGATCAGTATACTTCCTTCATAGGCAGGCCTGCTCCAATGCCTTATTGGTCTTTTGGTAAGTTCAAAATTCTCTATCTTCTTCACTGCATTTGTATTAATGGTGATATATACTCTTTGATCCCATGCCTTATTGGTCTCTTCTTGATTTTCTAAAGTGACATATTGTGTAACGAACTTTTGTGAACAAATAGGAGCATAACATAATTTTTTGGTCATCAATTATGTACACTGAACACCTAGCCAATCTCTACGATCGCCTTTGTTAGAGAGCAGTTTACCCATCAATATTGTGGGACTTCCGGACACGGATGGAACCCAAAAAGAAAAACTCATAATAATTAATATAAATCCTGAATCCATAGTTATTGCCAAGTTGGGATGAAGGAGGCGGTGGAGAATATTTGTAGTTTTAGGTTTTGTCTTCATTAGTAGGAAATAAAACCCGTGACTTTGCTTTCATGAGTTTTGGCTGTTCTTTGTTTTTTGTGTTAGAAGATACCGTGTTTTGGACAAAACAAAAAACACTGCTTTTGTCTACCGGCCTTATTCCCTTACCAAAATTTTCCTTTCCAGGTAGAAGTTTGGTACCACGTGGACCATCTCAATAATTGCTTTATTAGCAAATTAATGTACTCTTCTGTCGGTATAGGGTCTATCGGAAACAGTCTCTTTGCCCTCCCAAATTAGAGGCAAGGACGCGTATATCCTACCCTCCTCAGACCCCGCTTGTAGGATTTTCACTGGATTGTTATTGTTATTGTTTTTGTAATGTACTCTTCTGTCAATTTACTAGCTATTGGGAATTTTGAAAAAGTACAGTCTCTGAGTCACATATTCACAGTTCTCCTCTTTAATGGAATTACAGTAATATCTATTAGGAAGATGATAATTCTTTAAAAAAAAAAAATACTTAGCCTGTTTACTTGTATATTTAATTCTAGAAGGCCAAATGATAACTACTAATGGAATATGCTTAGAAGGAAAGGGAAAGTATTCAATTTGTCTTTTACAATAACGTTTGAAGAGGATGGTAGGTATGAAATGATTGAGTTCATAAACAAATCATAATATGATGAACTATTTTTTTTTATTTCTTTTATTTTTCCTCCCATTTTGGCTTATCATGTTATGCACCATGGAATATTTCGACCATCACTCCACGTAAGGGCTTTAAATTCTGTAATTTATAAAACACTTTCATAATGACATTAAGCAGGTCGTGGTAGTAGGTATTGATCAAATGAGTGATGAACTCTTGGACCTTTATACTTGGTAGAGAACTTTATAGTCTAAATTGCACTAATATCAATCCCAAAACAAGATAAATCTAAAGGTGTTAAATATACACTGACAATATAAAGAAATTTTGGTTCATTAGTGCAGTTTAACCAGTTATAACAGGCTACTTAAATCTTTTTTATATTAGTAATTCACCCTTACTAATATTCCATAGTTTTTGTTGATGGTACTGATATATTGTCTCTTTTCGTTTCTTGAGCCGGAGTCTATTGGAAACAACCTCTCTACTCTCTCGGAGTAGGCTCTCCCCCAGGAGCGGATCTATTAAGGGAGGTGGGGGTGCCACGCCACCCGCAAACCTTGGTCGAAACTCATATATTCTATGTATATTTAGAAGAAATTGGGTATAAACCAAATAATGGCGCCCGGATTAACAAACTTGTTCTAGGTCCCACTGGTAGAGTGGTGTCTTTTTGTGTCCAAGTGCCAGAGTTCGAATACAATTTTCTTCATACATTTTCATCTTTTATCTTCTTTTCTTTTAGTCTTTTTATTATGAAAATGTTATCTTTTTTTCATTTTTTAAGCTAAAGAAACCAATTCCTTTTAACAACCACAATTTCAAAACTCAAAACTCATATCCTTAAGCATTCTCTTCCCGTACCATCCCCTTTTTCGAGTCCTCTAGATGTACATAGTTACATGTTTTGTTATTATTTCTTTTCTAATCTTCTCTTAATCCTTTTGGTTGCCCGTCTAGCTAATTGAAGAAGAAGAAGAAGAAGGAAAAGAAGAGAATTAGTCAATGTTTGCTGTAAATGTTCCTAATGTATTAGCAACGTTTTGTTAGATAAAATTAAACTACATCTAATTTCTAAGGTCATTAAAATTGTTAAGTCATTCTTATCTTTTCATGAATGTTATAGTTATTAACTTTGAACCAAACTATTTTGGAAGGAGTGTGATTCTCCTATATTTTGTGATATAAGCAATGTCAAGCATAGTTGTACTTTACTGTAGGTTGTCTTAATATTTTTATTTTTTTTTGCTTAATCAGTTATTTGTATAAGTCAAAAAGATGAATAATTCAAACCGAAACCCGAAATGGATCAAACCGGTTAAATAACTACCTCAGTTGGAAACATGTAATTAAATATCAATATATCTATGTTCGAAAACATTGCGGCACCCGCAACCTCTAAATCCTGAATGTGCCTCTGCCCTCCCCAGACCCCACTTGTGGAGTTTTACCGAGTTATTGTTGTTGTTGTTGTAATTTACCCTTAGTAAATTCAGCATGCTCTTCTCACTTATCACACACTAGATTCTAATTAGACTATTGATGTTTGGTAAATGCTAGTAATATCTCATTGCCCATCTCCTTATTAAAGTTATCTCCTGCTTGGTAATTGCAACAGGATTCCATCAATGCAGATGGGGTTACCACAATTTATCTGTAGTTGAGGATGTTGTCGAGAACTACCAGAAAGCCAAGATCCCTCTTGACGTGATCTGGAACGACGATGATCACATGGATGGGAAAAAGGATTTCACTCTCAACCCTGTCAACTACCCTCGTCCGAAGTTATTATCATTCTTGGACAAAATTCATGCACGAGGCATGAAGTACATTGTCATCGTAGATCCTGGAATCGGAGTTAATAGTAGTTATGGTGTTTACCAGAGAGGTATAGCCAATGATGTCTTTATCAAATATGAAGGCAAGCCTTATTTAGCTCAAGTCTGGCCTGGTGCTGTTAACTTTCCTGATTTTCTCAACCCGAAAACTGTTGAGTGGTGGGGCGACGAAATTAGGCGATTCCATGAACTTGTTCCTGTTGATGGACTCTGGATTGACATGAATGAAGTTTCCAACTTTTGTTCTGGTTTGTGCACAATCCCTGAAAACAGGATATGTCCTAATGGTACTGGTCCTGGTTGGATTTGTTGCTTAGATTGCAAGAACATAACGAATACTAAATGGGACGATCCGCCTTATAAGATAAATGCTTCTGGAATACAAGCACCAATTGGCTACAAAACAATAGCCACTAGTGCAGTTCATTATAATGGAGTTAGAGAATATGACGCTCATAGCATTTATGGTTTTTCTCAGTCTATTGCAACTCATAAGGCTCTCCAGGGACTCCAGGGCAAGCGCCCGTTTATATTGTCTCGTTCCACGTTTGTTGGTTCAGGACATTATGCTGCACATTGGACTGGGGATAACAAAGCAACTTGGGATGATTTGAGATATTCAATATCTACAATGTTAAATTTTGGCTTATTTGGTGTTCCGATGGTTGGTTCAGATATATGTGGATTCTATCCAGCACCTACAGAGGAGCTTTGCAACCGTTGGATTGAAGTTGGCGCGTTCTATCCTTTCTCAAGGGATCACGCGAACTACTACTCCCCTAGACAAGAACTTTACCAATGGGAGAGTGTGGCTGAATCTGCTCGAAATGCTTTAGGAATGAGATATAAGTTACTTCCATATTTCTACACTTTGAACTATGAGGCACATACTACTGGTGCGCCAATTGCTCGCCCACTCTTCTTCTCTTTCCCAAATTTACCTCAGCTTTACGACGTGAGCACACAATTCTTGATAGGAAGCAGTGTCATGGTCTCACCCGTGCTAGACGAGGGTAAAACTGAGGTGAAAGCTTTGTTTCCTCCAGGCACTTGGTACAATATATTCGATATGACACAGGCCATTGTCACAACAGAACCACACTATGTAAAACTAGATGCACCTCTAAATGTGGTCAATGTACATTTGTACCAAAACGCCATAGTACCAATGCAGCGCGGTGGAATGATATCAAAAGAAGCAAGAATGACACCTTTTACCCTCATAGTAACCTTTCCATCAGGTACTAAAGATCTACAAGCTAAAGGAAATCTTTTCCTCGACGATGATGAGCTTCCAGAGATGAAATCAGGGAATGGACACTCAACATATATTGATTTCTATGCAACAGCAAGTAATGGAACAGTGAAGTTGTGGTCAGAAGTTCAAGAAGGTAAGTTTGCATTGGATGAAGGATGGTTCATTGAGAAGGTTATGGTATTAGGTACAAATGGCATTGATGGAGCTTTTGAAATTAACGTCGATGGACAACCATTAAAAGGCACTTCAAGAGTGCAGTTTATCACAGCAGAACACAAGTACATAGACAATTCGGACGATGGAGGAGATAAGAGAAAGAGTATGATGATGGATATTCATGGACTGGAATTACCTTTAGGGAAGAACTTTGTTATGTCCTGGAAAATGTGAAACTTAGCTTGAGAACACTGTAATTCTAATGTGTGGACAAATTGCCTATGCCCTAAAAATTGGATTCCTCACAATCTTTACTCTTACCATGTTTTCTAATACTATTATATCAAACTAAAAATGCAGATTCTTAGCAAAACTAATGGTAACTTTATTTGTGCTACATAAGGGTATTAGTTTATCGTCAGTTTGTGCTGTCTGATTTAGGGGAAACAACAACTTGAAATTCTAAGTAGGGATTTTTTCATTCTTGTACACTATTTGAAAATTTATTACCCTTAATGTCCATGTTTAGTTAAGTACCTTACATAAATAAGTGTTTACAAAATATATACAATCCACCTTAAAAGGCTCACAATCCATTATTTGTGTCTTCAATCAAGGAATTTAGTTATACTATTTTCCTTTTTTCTCTCCTCTCTCTCCCCTCTTCTCTCCAGGTTCTGCCTTTCTCCTTCATTTTCTCGAATTCCTACCATACAACATCAAGAAAATTCTCATAGTTATAAATCTTAATCAGCAAAGTGCACAGTGGAGAATTAAGGATTACTGAGTATGCTTGAACATTACCTGCTGGTGGGAACACCCAAGAAAAGCCATGCCAAACCGTTGAACTGTACGATAGCAAATTCATATCATTCAATCAAGTAGTCAGAAGAGAGAATGCCATTGAAATCAAGTCGTATACGACAATGATATTCTGTCATTAGCTGTGTCTGTCGTTCAAAGCCTTGCAATAAACTGATGTTGGATATTTTAAGTGTTTAAAGTCAGTCATCTTTGGCTCAAATAGTGCGCAATTATAGATCCTAGAAGGCAATTCTGATTGGTCAATAAAAATCGATTTTAAAGCTATTTTTTTTTTTTATGAGTTTAGCCAATTTATCATGAAAGGTAAAAGGGGGTAAAGGAACCGTGTGTTTATTGTCCAGTAAATATAAGTTGTCTTCTTCCATATGTAAAAAGGGAATAAATAAATCAATTAAATTTCGGGATGCTTCATGAAGTGCTTCTTTCGGAGTTAAACTTCCGTTTGTCCATATTTCGAGAAAAAGTATCTCTTGTTTTTCATTCTCATTCCCATAAGAATGCATACTATGATTCGCGTTTCGAACAGGCATGAAATCTGCTAAATAATTCACTATTTCGAAGATTCTATAACTTAAACTTTTGTGCTTAACTTGACTTCATTAGATAGAACACTTTGATGGTTCATAATATCTCGAGTAAACAATTTCCCAACTAAATCTGCTAACTTCACCCATAGTGTACATTTACACCAATCGCAGTAATCAAAAAGTATAATTGAGCAGATTTGAAGTTTTAGCATATTTCAAATTAAATTCAATCGCCTCCAAACTTTAATTTCAGCTTTGTATTAGTATTTCCAACAAGAATCTATGCTGCCCAGTTAATTTCTCACACAAAATTCAAATTTCACATAAAAGTCAGTTTCTCCGAAGTGCGACGGGGGCGCTTTTAATGTGAAACTCGAAATTTCTCCACCAAAATCATTCAATTCCCATCAATATTGAAGTTTTTACATTAAAAAAAATGAATCAGTGCACATGAGTTGATTTGGAATTTATTCTCTACTTTTCTTTCCTTAATAAATCAACTAATCAGAAAAGAACAATGTATGGTACTTCAACATACGAATTAAAAATAAATTTCGCACCAATTTAATGGAAATTTGAATATTTACAACAACTTAAATAGTAAAAATAAATTTTATAAAACTAATTATATAGTATACAACTTATCTACAATTTTCATACATTAGCTTTTCTCGGTAAAAGACATCTAAAATATCATACAACTTAAATACAATTTTTATATAAATTTGATACAATATGTCTTTTGTATATTTTGTATCTGATTTATACATAGTAAAATAAATTTCATACATTTAATTATATATTATACAACTTATCTACAAACTATCTATAACGTATCTACAATATTCGTACATTATTTCTACCTAGTTATATACAACTACAATATCATACAACTTAAATATAATTTTTATACAATATTGTTCAACTTTCATACAATACTTAAATAAATAAAAAATATAAATAAACAGAATACAATTTTTCTACAATTTTACTACAACTTTACTATAATTTCTGCAGTATAATGTATGTCATGTCTTCTTCTTCGAGTTTCAATCTGAAATTCAGCCAAAATCAGGTCTAATCTTCACCAAAACACCCTCAATATTGAGATATAAACTTTAAATCATATTCCCAATTGTTTGCAACAACATCGAATCCAAATAAATAATATTTTTTAAAAATCCAAATTCGAATTCAAAGCTTTAAAGTTTTTTAATGGCTGTCAATGGTGGAATTGCTGCTCTCTTTTCCTTTACTTTACATTACTGGAATTAGGGATTGAGAGATAGAGAGAGACGTAGGGGGAATTCTCAATTGTTTGCAACAACACTCAATTCAAACAAGTAATATTTTTTGAAAACCCAAATTCGAATTCAAAGCTTTTTAATGGCTATCAATGGTGGAATTGTTGCTCTCTTGTGCAAGATACGTAGGGGATGGGGTGGGATGTGGAGAGAGAAACGTGGGGGTGAGATAAAGAGAGAGAAACGTGGGGGCGAGTGAATGTAGGAATTGATTAATTATCCTTAAATCCTAAAAATATACATAATTGGTAATTTTGTATATAGGAGGTAATTAAAGTGAAACTTGAGTAGAGAGGGTAATAAAGTTTCCAATAGTGTATATATATGTAAAAATCTCTATGATGGAAAGTATAAGGCAAAAAACTTTTTGAGTTGGGCCAAGTACGATGAGCTGGTATCAATGGTAGCCCATAAACTAAGTGTAGTGTATGTTTTATGGAGGAAGCCTATTTGGACACTCCCATTTAATCTAGAGAAACTTTCATAAAGCACTATCTTTTAGTGGTAATTAGCTATCTATAGATATCATTTGCTATATTATGGATTGTAGATACGTTTTCTGTTGTTATAAAATGTATTAGATGTATTTAAACTAATGTATTCATGAATACAGCAGCAAAAATAGACGTAAATCAAAGAAGTCAAGTTAATCAGTTGTTGTATTCGAGTGTATTCGACTGTATTCATGGCGTGAAACATGGGATTATGTCACAACCCCAACCGGCCCGGTCGTGATGGTGCCTCTCGTGAAGACAAGGCCAGCCGACACAACATCCACATTAACCCTTTAATCATTAAGAGTCATTTTTAAGCCTTTAATTAAACAATATCTCATAACATCAGTCTGAATAAACAGTGCGAAAATAACATACAAGCCTGACATCAGGGTGTCACTAGTCATGAGAATCTACTAAGGCCTGAATACAACAAAAATAGTCAAAAGTGTACTAAGTACAGTAATGAAAATAAGAGGAAGGAAGCAGTGCTGCGAACGTCATGCAACCACCTTGCTAACTCCGATGACTCCGCGTCTGAGAAATCAACACCCGCTACCGGGTTCCGAAATACCTGAATCTGCACACGAGGTGCAGGGAGTAATGTGAGTACTCCAACCCAGTAAGTAATAAATAAAGACTGAGCAGTATGAAACAATGAATCCACATTTATGATAAACTCAATAAGCACAACGGCCTTTCAAATCAAAATACGAGTCGATCGTCTCATTTAAATTCCAGCCTTTTGGTAAAAATCATTTGAAAATGCTTTCCGACAGTTTTAGTAGGGGTTCAATACCATTTATAATAAAAGAGATAAAAACCATAATCGACCCCTCGGGCAAAACATAGTTCGTAAACAGCCCCTCGGGCAAAATAGGAATCATAAACACCTCATAAAATGAAAATCTCAATGGAAATAACAAAGCCAAATCAGTGATTAAATTCTGAACATCTCATAAACTCTAGCTTAAATGAAAGTCGTTTCAAAACATTCGTTCAACATTTTTGACGGAGGCTCAGTACAAAGGTGAGTGAAAGCAGTAAATAAATCAACATATTCGGTAGAAACTCACTTTAAAGAGGAGTGAAAATCAATAAGTTCATAAACAGGACCCTCAAGCAAAGCATTACTCATGTACATGTTTATATCTATCGCCCCGCGGGCAAGCCTCTCAGCCACTCGTGACTCAACTCTTACCAATCAGTGCTCACACTCAGCACTAACACTCAATAGGTACCATATAGTAACCGCTGCAGCGCGCAGCCCGGTCCATATATCGCTGCAGCGTGCAACCCGATCCATATATCTCGTTGACGGCGCTCACTAGGGGTGTGCAGACTCCGGAGGGGATCCTACAGCCCAAGCGCTATATCGTCGCGGCGTGCAGCCCGATCCAACATATCGTTGCGGCATGCAGCCCGATCCATATAAGTATCACTGCGGCGTGCAGCCCGATCTATACATATATATATATATATATATATATATATATATATTACTATGGTATGCACCCCGATCCATAGATATATAATCCTCACAACTTGGCCCTCAGCCTCTCTCGGTCATTAACCTCACCATCAGACTCTCAGTCTATCTCAGTCATCAATCTCACGATCACTCGGACCATCAGTAAAATAGGGAACTCGACCCAAAACAGTTTCCACATTTTTAAGAATATAGTGGTAAAGCCAGATTTGAGTAACAAACAGGTAAAACATGACTGAGGATATGCTTTCAAACAAATAGAGTGAAGAAAGACAGTAAAAATGCCCCTGAGGGTTTTAACAAGTCGGCACAAGGCCCCAAACATGGCATACAACCTAAAATATAATAACATCAAACAATTAACTATCAATTACGCATTAAAATAATCATTCGGGATGGACTAAGTCACAATCCCCAGCGGTGCTCTACCCCACGCTCGTCATCTAGCGTGTAAGCCACCTCAACATAGCTCAACGATGTGTAATCCGGGGTTTCAAACCCTCAGGACAGTATTTACAATCTTTACTTACCTCTATCCGGTCCAAACTCTAGCCTGCGATGCCTTTGCCTCTCGAATCGGCCTCCAGATGCTCCAAATCTAGCCAAAATCAGTACCAAACCATCAAAATATGCTAAGGGAAAAAAGCCCACTCGAAAATAATCAAATTACCATAAAATTCCCGAAATTGGTCAAACCCGACCCCCGGGCCTACATCTTGGAATTTGAAAAAAATTCACAAACTAGAATCCTTATCCTCTCACGAGTCTAACCATACAAAAATTATCCAATTCCGATACCAATTGGTCCTTCAAATCATCATTTTACATTTTTGAAAGATTTTACAATTTCTTCCCAAATTCCGTCCCAAATCACGAATTAAATGATGAATTCAATGATAGATTCATGTACTCTAGCCAAATCTGAGTTAGAATCACTTACCTCGATGAATTTCTTGAAAAACCTTCGAAATATCGCCAAAATCCGAGCTCTCTAGGTCAAAATATCAAGTAAAATCCAAAACTTCGTATTTATAGAGTACCCCACAGATTCCACCTCCGCGGACCGCACAAAATTGACCGCGGTCCGCACAAAACTAGTGCGGTTGTCACGAGCCAAAATCCCAACCCGGTCGTGATGGCGCCTCTCGTGAGGACAAGGCCAGCCAATCAACAAAACAGTACATCTCTTTATAATTACTTAGCAGGAATAAATCTAAATAATGGGCAATATAATCTTAAATGCGAAATAAACGTGATAGAATAAGGAAAATCCTCCCAACTCAGCCCGAAATCGGGGTGTCACAAGTCATGAGCTACTACAGAGT